AGGATGGAGATTTCAGCGTTGAAGACAAGCCTCGCTCTGGACAGCCAAAAAAATTCGAAGACAAAGAATTAGAGGCATTACTCGAAGAAGATCAGAGTCAAACGCAAGAGGAGCTTGCAGAATCATTGGGGGTAACTCAACAAGCCGTTTCTGTACGATTGAGAGCCATGGGAATGATTCAAAAACAAGGAAATTGGGTGCCTTATGAACTGAAACCGAGAGATGTTGAAAGGCGATTTTTCATTTGCGAACAGCTGATTCAAAGATAACAGAGAAAAGGTTTTTTGCATTGTGACTGGAGATGAGAAATGGATATTCTATGACAACCCCAAGAAGAAAAAATACTACGCTAAGCCCGGTCAATCGTTGCCATCGACCTCAATATCAACACCACGGCCAAACATTCATGGTTCGAAGATCATGCTCTGTATCTGGTGGGACCAAAAGGTTTATTATGAGCTGCTGAAACCTGGCGATTCCATTACGGGCGATCGGTATCGGCTACAATTGATTCGTTTGACCCATGCATTGCGAGAAAAACGGCCGGAATACGAGCAAGACATGATAAAGTTATTCTTCTTCATGACAATGCTCGGCTTCATATCACTAAAGTAGTAAAACATTTTTATCGCTAAAATAAAAAAACATTTGGAAACACTCAAATGGGATGTTTTACCGCACCCGCCGTATTCTCCGGACATTGCTCCTTCTGATTATTGGTTCCGAAGGATATAGCAAGTCACTGGTTCACTTCTTTCGCAGAAAATTGGCTCCAAAATTGGATCGCCTCCAAAGACGAGTCATTTTTTTGAGATGGAATTCGAAAATTGCCTGAGAAATGGGAAAAAGTAGTTGGCAGCGATAAATAATACTTTAATTGATTCATTCATTTTGTTTTAAAATAAATGCATTTTTGAACACAAAAAAACGGACCGAATTATAATTTGTACTCCCAATATATAATTCCGATAAAAAATAATTAGTTCAATTTTATTGCTAAAATAAATATTATGGATTAGCATTATATTCCAGAATAATATGCACGATAAAATTATGATAAAGAAACATGTCTGCCTGAATTTGAATATGAATTTCATTAATCAACTTTTGACTAATTTTAAGTTGTGCATTCAGTATTACTCGATCTCTGTAATGGAAATTTCTACTTTAGTTATCCACAAACACTGAATGTTAGTTAATGGATGTATAGCTTTGATAAATCTGAACAATATAAATGTTGTCAAAAACATGGAACACGTATAGTTAAAATAATCTTTTTTCATAAATAAATTAAAAATAGCTTTTTTTTAGCAAAGAAGATTTATAACAGTTAAAATACTATGAAATAGTATTTGTTTTAGTATTTCAGTTTCAGTATTGATAGCCAGATATGCTAGTTTACATTTTATGAAGTAGATGACATTCCCAGGAAATATTTTAGAAATATTTACGAAATATTAGAAATATTTATATATACTTATCCTAAACATTATATAAAATATTTAGTCTGTATTTTAATAATATTTTGAATAAAGCTTATATAAAGTATCTATAAAATATTTATAAAATATAAATATTTATGAATATTTATTATAAATTTTATGCTATTTGAGTAACACAAGTCATAATATATATGTATATATGCGAAGATTGATTATGTCAAAATATCTAGAATAAATTTTATTTTGTTTTATTTTACAAGTTTTTCAGTATCATTTTGAAAATATTTAATCTTAAATATGAAATTTTACATTATAAGTACGCAAAACATTTTTTGCAAATATTTTATTGTTTTTTTCTACAAAATTTTATTCTACAAAAACTTATTTTTTTTTTCTAAAATGTTTTTTATATTATTTCGAAAATAATAAGTACATCGAAAAAAGACAGAAGGAAACAAAAATTTATCATAATATGCTTAATTCATATAAATTTTTTCAAAATTTTTTAAAAACTTTTTCGATTGTTAATATAAAACTAAGTCAAAATTTTATAAAAAATACAATACAATAAAAAATTAAATACTTTTGCAAAAAAATATTCTAGTATTTTTTCAAAATATACATTTTAAAGTAAATACATTTCAAAATACATTTTAAAAGGCCTACTTTAAAATGCTTGTCTGTTAATTTTATCGGATAATGTTCCATATTCCATCCAGATAAAATGCTAAAAAAAAATAACAAAAATATTGAAAAAAAATCCATTTTACATGATTTTTTAGGAATAAAATATCATAGAGAGAGAGAGAGAGAGAGAGAGAGAGAGAGAGAGAGAGACAAGATTCAAATGCCAGTTTGAAGTTCTATTTTTTTTAAATTTTTCTACGATTTATTTTCACCGAAATATTTAAGTTTTTGTGAAATGTGAAAAAATTGCAAATGTTCTTTATTTATGAATGGTATAGTGTATTATACATATAATCTTGACGATATATAATTTCAAATATCTTAACCAAGCTAGTCATCAAATGAGCGTCTTATAATTTTTATTTTGTTAAACTAGAAGCCTACACCGGTTGAAGCTGGATTTTGAATGCTTTAAATAATTCAGTCTGAATTACTATATAAACTCTATATATATATATATATTTGTATGTATACCATATTATAGTCTTTTGAACTGCGAGCTGAATTGTTTTTTTGAAACGCGTTTTATAAACGCAATTAAACTACTCTAGTAATCGTGAATTAAATTTACAAACAATTTTAATAATTTGATGCTGCAATCAGACATTATATTATAAAGATGTTAATATATTGAAAAACTTAATAAATTATTGCGAAAAATATTATCTCAAACCCGGATCTCTCTGTATTCCATACAAGCATCCTAAGCCTTTAGACTGCTTTGCTCCCGGCCGATGTAATATTTTTTGATATATCAATTTCCACATGCTACGAAAAAATGACTGTGTTCAGCAGAGAAAGCAACTTTGCAACTGTTGTAAAATTCTTCAATACGATTGATTCTTGCTTTTGGTTTCTTACAGTTTCTAAACATATAGACCAATCATATTGAAGAATTTTACAACAGTTACAAAGCTTGTTGAACGCAGCCTATGACGGCGCTACAAATTAAAATTCGCTAAAAAAATTGATCTTAATTCAATTAAATAATATAATGTAAAATAACATAATATGTTAATTAAATAATATAAAGATTGACTCTCTTTTTATTAGGTGGCATTATCATACTGGCAATACCTGGGGAACTTGTGAAGATGGGACACAACGCGTAGGTTGTGGCCCCCAAGAAACGTTTAGAAGCTGTGCTGATATCACCATCACGAATTAATTTATCACGTACTTCGGATTAGCTTTATACTATCGAAAGTATTTGGCTCATGCTCATAAAAATTTTCAATTAAAGAAATCTTTGATCTAAAAGATTCTAATTAAATAAATAAGAAAAATAGATAGCACAAAGTTTAAATACAAAGAGAAAAACTTTTATCCTACTCCTAAAATTTGAATTTCAGAAAATTGATTGAGAAGATATACAAGATATACAAGTCTGATTTACTCAGAAGTTGAATTTAATTGCATATTCAAAAAGAAGTTGAATTTAATTGCACATTCAGAATCTAATCTAATTATGCAATTATTAAAATCAAGTAAAAACAGATTAATAAAAATAATAAGGAAAAACTAATTAGAATACAACGTAATTATCAGTGTGTAAACAATATTTACCAATCGTTACAATTATTACGTCCTACAGACGCCACGATTCTTTTCTTTCAAAAGAATCGGCGTCCACGTCGCGATTATGGCGTCTAAGAGATTCGAGTGAGCCCTCTGATAATGGTTTGACAGATCTGAAAAGAGGGACCGGACAAACGAAAACTCGTAAACGTCAATCAATTCGGAAGGACTAACAACCTTAATGCAGGCCCGAAAAGTGACAAGATTGCAAAAGACACTATAAATGCACCGAAGTCACGCAATAGTAAAAATCAAAGCCAACAATTTCTTAAGGAAATAAGAAATTTTAGGCGCCACGTCGCCTAAAAAAAATCATAAAACGCATAGAATAACTTCCTACAGTAACGCTATCTCAGATCAGACTCGCGAATGACAAGGGTTGCCCTGCACGCAAAATTAGTTATGTACGGTAACCATCTGTTTACCTAGTTATATTTTCCGCGAGGATAACAGAATTCGTCTGGAGCAATCTTGCCTCTTTAAGGAAAAACGTAAATCATTTCTTTTCTTTTCGATGCACTTTAGATTAACAACGATAGGACGTTATAAAAATCGTAAATCTCGCGTAACATTGCAACTAACTATTGCGCCTAAACAAAGGGCAGTACGCCCTTTTTTCAGGGTATAAATAGAAGTCCCGCAGAAGCGTCAGTCAATGCGAACTCAATCTATCGTAGTCCACGTTGCTCGGTGTCAATATTAAGCAAGAAACGCGCTGAACGGAAAGTTCGTCCCAGTTCGCGTATATTATATATATAATATTAGTGGTCAAAATCGTGCAACTATCACTGTGGGACCATTCAATTGATTTCTGGCATTGCGACTGCTCTCCTTCCGCGACGCTTCCGTGAACAGCTGGCCTGCACGATCACACCAACTAATTTTTTTCTTTCGAGATCTCCAATCAATCAATCAAAAGTAAGTCAGCCTGTCAATCCTTCCTATTTTATACTCTGCCCCTCTCCCTCAATTAAATAAACATAAATTATATATATATA